AAGATGACATCACGTGCTGCCACTGTTTCTTTTGTCCCGACGTCGAAGATTTTCCACGCGTTGTAATGTTTTTCGATGCCCAGGTGTAGTCCCCACTGTGCGCGTTGGGAGAATCGTCCTGCTCGTGCAGATGGGGGTCGGTACTGTACCATGCAGCCGAAGACTCGTAACATTTTTGTGCTGCCCAATTTTCCTGTCCACAGCAGATGCGGTGATGCGTTGTTCGGGAGTGACGACGAAGAAAGCAGGTTGTGCAGCATCACGGCGTGGTCCATAGCTTCGGGCCACTGATGGTCAGGTAGCCGCATGCCACGTAACAGTTTGCGCATGGTGTTCTGCAGAGTCCTGTTCATCCTTTCTGCTACACCTTGCTGTTGGTGGGCGTAGGGAAGGGAGATGAGCCGCTTGATGCCTCTCTCTGCCAAGTACTGCTTGAACCTTTGTGAGGTGTATTCTCCTCCTCCGTCTAACTGAAAGCTTTTCAGTTTAACGCCTGATTCCCTTTCTGCTACAGGAAGCCACGCGATGAAGGCTTCGAAGGCCATGTCCCGGCTCGGGAGGTTGAAGTGCCAGACGTAACGTGTGGCGGCGTCGATGAAGGTGATGGTGTAGTTGTATGCGTTTTGTCCGGGGGCGCGGTTGTACAGGATGTCGCTGTACACCTTTTCAAGAGGTGCGTAGGCTGGAGCACTGGGGTTGTGGTGAGATGGGAACGGTTGATGCGGTAAGTCGCCTTTAGGACAGGTGAAGCATGTCCCTCGTGCTCGTTGAAGTTCTCGTCCGTCTGTTTGGAGTAAAGAGTCCTTGTCGAGTACTCCTGCTCGAATCGTGTTGTTTAACACAGTGTTGCTTGGGTGCCCCATTCTTGCGTGCCAGGTGCTTTCGTCGGCGCGATGTCCGGGTGATCGTCGATACAGATCGGAGTTGGAGTAGAAGCCAGCCGTGACGTTCGCACTTCGATGGACTTCTCGTCGTGCCGGGTGGAACTGCTGCGCGGGTGTTGGTGGCGTGTCGTCGATGAAGGGCGGTGCCGTTGAAGGATCGGCAACTAGTGTTGATGTTTCTGCTGCTGCCGATGTTGTCTCTGCTACTGCCGATGTTGTCTCTGCTGCTGCTGATGTTGTCTCTGCTGCTGTCGATGTTGTCTCTGCTGCTGCCGATGTTGTCTCTGCTGCTGCCGATTGTTGAATCGTTGCTAATGCTCTTGTTCTTTCTGTTTCAGGAATGGTGTGTGAGTACCAGAAGCCGCCCGGACTGAAGTCTGGATCAAGATCCGGAGGATGTGTCCAGTTGGTGAAGTTTACGATGGCGTCGCTGTCGGCCGTGCCAAGATCAGGAACGAAGTCAAGAACGAAGACGTTGTTCTTGAGGACCGCCTTCCCGATGTAGAGACCTCCTCTCCCGTGGTACAGCTTGAACTCCTGAGTTGTGCTGTCTGCTTCAAGATGAATGCCCTTCGCCATCAACTGACTGACGCTCAGTAAGTTGTAGCCCAAGCCCTCTGCGATTAGGACCTTAGACATCTGCAGGATAACGTTTGTCTCTCGTGACTGAAGTTGTACTACGCCTTGTCGTCGTGTGCGCAGGTTCTGGTTGTTGGCGACGGTGATGACGACTTCCCGTTGAAGCTGGTACTCTCGCTGCACGAAGCGTCCTGAAGAACACATGTGCTGTCCGCAGCAACTGTCCAAGAACCACGTGTCCTTCCCGGATGGCTCGCTTTGGGCAATGGCGGCGTAGGTTGGATTTGGATGAAGTGCTTCGCGGCGAGGTGTCGTTTCATCGAGCTGTTCTTCTGGTGAGTAGTACGGTGGTGATTCCGTGATGCAAGAGTCACTCAGTCTTGCCATGCAGCTAACGATGTTTCTTGCTCCTTGTGCAGGTTGTCCTGTTGAGGTCGTTGAAGCTTGAATTTGAGTCGTCGGGTTCGCCTGTGTTGACGCAACTTGATTGCTTGAAGGCCGTAGATGCCGCTGCGGAGTTGTTGACTGTTGACGGTTTGGGCAGTGCGTGCGCGGGTGCCCTGAAGTTTTGCAGATGTGGCAGAAGGGAGGTACTGGCTTCGGTTGTTGTTGTCGGTTGTTGTAGTTGTTGTGGGCTCGGAGGATAGCTTTGGTGGCGCGCCATTGAGGACCGAGACCGCCAATGATGACCGTCACGAAGGCGTCTTCTGATATTGACCCTCCGCATCGAAGAAGCTTGTCGCGCAATTCGCGACATCGGCTGATATACGCCATCCCCTTTTCTCCTGGTTTCATTTCAACTGTTGTCAACTGCGCCATTAACCTGCTCTGGTTTACGCTGTCTGTTGCTTGATACAGGCTCTTCAAGTGATTGTACGCGAGCTCAGCGGAGTTGCCATAACCCCGGTAAGAGCGTATGTTTTGCTGCTGAGTTGGTGTAACGTTTCTCAGCAGAATCGTATACGCCATCATCGATTGATACGTATACTGCTGCTTCTCATACTGTGTGCCGTTTGCTGGATATTGCAGGGACCCGTCGAAGAAGCCAAGTATCTGCGCGCCCTCCATCATCAACTCAAATTCAAATGACCAGGTGAAGAAATCCTTTCCGTCGAAAGGTCTTGATGTCTGCAGTTTCAGGACATGCGCGAACTGTGATTGCACTTGTAACGCGTCCAGTGGTTTGTCTTGTCCAGGTGAAGGCTGCGGCATGAAGCTGATCGACCCGCGCTCGTACGGGGCGAAGGTGGGTTGCTGCTGTTGATTTCCGCGCGCATATGACGACCCGTCGAGGCTCATGGGCGTCGCTCCGTTGTTGTTGCTGTTGTGTGATTGTGCAGGTCCCGATTGCTGGTGCTGCTCGTAGAAGGACATGAAGGAGAAGAACTTCTCCATTATGCTTGGGTCGAAGTTCGCGGGGTGATTTGTGGGAGTCTCAGTAGATGCCACCCTTGGTCTTGTTGCTGTGCCTTCCTCTGTCTGCAGGCCAGAGGCAGGAGGTGGAGTAGGAGTAGTGCCCGGGGAGCCGTTAGAGGAGCTCCTTTCCTTGCTTGTTGCCATGTCTTGTAATGATTTGAAGGTAGTAGAGTTTCCCCTGTTTGCTCTCATACCATGTTGGGCTGAGATAGCCCCTTAGGATCTTTCAAGGGAGAACTCTGGGTAGGATGGTGTTGAAACAGCGGAAGCTTTGATGAAAGATTATGAACCACCTTGCGCTGGTATGTGAGGGCAAAGTAGATTAATTATAGCAAGGAAGTACAAGATTATATTGTCAAGATAGTAGGCGAAAACGAGAAATAGGCAAAGAGGGGTTTCACTAGCAGTAGGTAGGATACATATAGGAAACCCTAGTTTGGGTTGTACTCACTATAGAGTACCCCACTGCAGACTAGACAAACATAGCATTCTGACACACCCCCATAGTCAAAGTGGGGTATAATCAGCACAACAAGCAGGCATAGCAATAGTTCACAATAATACGCAAAGCTAGAGACTATCACAGAGGGCAAGTGAGGAGGAGGAAAAACTGTGGGGGCGAGAAGATGGGAGGCGACGGCTGAAGCTGCAGACACACGGGCACCAGGAGTGCGCAGCACTGACGCTACCAGGCTAAACCCGGACTACACGGCGACAGGCGCAGCTGGCTCGCTGTGCTCCCAGGAGTGCTCACACTGTGGCTACCGGGCGCAGAGCCCCGGACTACTCAGGCCACAGCGGGTCGTGGCTCTCTGGACTTCAGGCGCTGCGGACGACAAGACGATTGCCTCCACTCAACTTCCTCCAGCTGTCCCAAAACCCTTTCACACACCCTCTGCTGTACCTCTAGCACTGCTCACACGCCACCCCCCTAGTACCACTCCGACGGCTCCAACACACCCACCCCCCTCAGCGGCAGCTGCAGCAGTGGGAGCCGGAGGAGGAGGAGGAGCAGGGGACGGCGCACACACTTATCACCCCCACACTCGCCACCCCCAAACCCTAAAACAGGAGCGCGGGCAGCAGCAGGGGTGGGGCGCGGTCAGCAGCTCGGGGGACGGCGTGCGCAGGTCGAACGAAACCGCGCGCGGGCCGCCCGGGCCGCGCGCGGACCGGCGCAGCCCGTACGGGCCGCGCGCGGGCCTGGCGCAGCCCGTACGGGCCGCGCGCGGGCCTGGCGCAGCCCGTACGGGCCGCGCGCGAGCTCGGGCAACTGCTCTGTAACGAGTCAGTTGTGTGTCCTTAACTGTCGCGCTGTATTTGTCAGGTCAAAGGTCGCTGACCTTTGACTTTCGCGTAACCTCCAGCAACCTCTCAACCTCCGAGGGTTGACTCGCGTTTGTTTCGGTACTGCTTGCTTCGCTTCTGGTGCGATGTTTCGACACGACTGAAGCGCTTAAGATTTACTGTTTCCAACAGGGTGTACCTTTTATTAAATACCCCTCAATATTCAAGTCAAGAGTAAGCTAGCTACTACTAGCTATATTTTGGTGAGAGACTGCTCTGAGTACAATCAAGTGCTGAAACGATTAGCCATTTTCCTGCGTCTAAATCGAAGGTGAGGGCACAAGTGTGGCTGCTCAGACCAGCAAAACCAACAAATCAAGTCCACAAATTCATCTACAGTACAAAGCAAACTGAAGTGGACTAAACACAGCAGCACAATGAGAACTCGAAATGCACAGCCTTACAGCAGCCATCAGGCATGAAACACAAGCACCAGTCTCCACCACTCTGAAGCCCCAGCTGAAAAAACACTAAAGAATATCTAACCGTGCCCCAAGTGTTATACCTCAGAGACCCCTTATGCTGGCAAAGAAAAAACCTTTCTCCCTCCAGCCTTCCTTCCCTCTGTCCACTCTTGCACGCACCAGCCCAATCAAACCTTTCAGAGCAGTCGAAACAGCCAACTGAACACCTGTAACACCCATTACAGTACGAATGCTTCACCCTCCCCCAACCTCCCACTCTGCCTGCTCTCTGCCTGCTCTCTGCCTGCTCTCTGCCTGCTCTCTGCCTGCTCTCTGCCTGCTCTCTGCCTGCTCTCTGCCTGTTCTCTCCCTACACGCCATGAGCAGCCGCAGCAGTGAGGTACGAAAAGTCATAAGCAGGAGCAGCAGCAGCCACAGGGGACACTGGCCCTGCCGCTAACACTCCCGGCGCTCCACTGGCGAATCCTGGGGTGACATGTGGCATGTGTGGCGGCGTCATAGGCTGTGTGGGGTAACCACCAGAATAACCACTGTAAGCTCCAGTACCAGAAGCAGCAGCAGGGCTGAAGTAAGATGGGGAATGCATGTATGTGCCATTGTACTGGGTTTGGGACATTGCATGTGCCCTGCAGAAGGGTGAAACGAAGGGGGGAGAAGGGAGTGGAAGAGTGTGTGTGAAAATATGGAGATGGGTGGAATGGAAGTACATGATAAAGGAGCAAGGAATCAAAGCGGTATGGATGTAGCAAGTAAAATGACCAATCGATATGATGAAAAGGCAATCGACAAAGTTATACCTTGGCATGGAGAAACATCATGAGAAGGCAACGTGAAAAAGAAACGATGAATGTAGGTGAGAATGTACTGACCCTGCATGCATCTGCATGTTGTACTGTGTCTGCTGCTGCATCTGCAACCCTCCACCTCCCCCATGCCACATGCCGCCACTGCCAGCAGCAGCAGCTTGGTTCCAACCCCCTCCCACTGCTGCCATATACTGCTGCTGCTGCTGCCGCATCATCATCATCATCTGCTGCTGCTGCTGCTGTTGCTGCTGATGCTGAGCGTAGGGGTTTGCCATGGGTGTCTGAGTGACGATTCGCAAGCAGAGCATAGAGGATAGAGGCAGAAATAGGGACAAGGACAAGGAAGGCATGAGTTAGAAAGAAATGTAAAGAAAGAGGTAAATGGCATTAAGACACACAATCGGTAACCAATCAACAGATCACCGGCCGAATGACATAAGGACAATGTAATTCAGGAGGACAGGTAGGTCTGGGAGGACAGTAGGTTTGGGAGGGCAGGGAGGACAGGTACGTTCGGGAGGACAGGAAGAATCAGGAGGATTGGGAAGATCAGGAGCAGAACACTGCACATACCTCAAACAGGCTGAGGATGTCTGATTTGGCACTGCCGCTGGTGGCTGTAGACATGGCAGGCATGGTGGTGGTCGCTGGTGCAACAGGGGCAGCGGTCGTAGCAGCAGCTGCAGCGGTGGGAGCGGTGAAGGACCATGAATTGGCAGTGCCTGCTGCTGCTGGTTGCATGGCATGGGATGCCATGGTGGAAGGGGTTGTGTCTGTGCCACAGGGAAGTGCATCAGGAAAGTGGGAATCAAGGAGGAGGGGGAATTTATCGTCAGTCATGGTGAGTCCAGTTCAGAGCAAACTGCTTTCCTTTACTTTCACTGCACTTAGGGTACATTCGTATCTCGTGTCTGACATCAGGTCAGACTCAAATTGGAGGTTCGGAAGACCCAAACGGGTTCGTTCGGGCTTCATGGAAATTGGAGACTAAGGGGCGATGACATGACATGTAGGACACGCGACACGAATGCACCCTTATTCCACTGCACTCCTTCATCATCCCACTATGCGTTTCAGAAAGCATGCTGCAGAACGGACGTGCTCCTGGTGCTTGCTGTAACCCATACCATACCTGAAAAGGCAGTCCACTCGGTTGTGATCGTGGTGGTGCTGGCGAGGGCAGGAGCGGCAGCAGGAGCGGCAGCAGGAGCAGCAGCAGGAGCGGGGTCGTTGAGAGAGAGGAGGTCAAACAGGTCAGCTGGTTCGCGCGGGGCAGCAGGCTGAGCGGGGGAAGGAGCTGGAGACGGCGCAGGGGAGGGGGTGGCAGAGGCGGAGGCTCTAGTGGGTGCTGCAGAAGGTGCGCTAGCAGCAGGAGAAGGAGCCGTAGAAGCAGCAGTGGCAGTAGTAGGAACAGGCTTGGCTGATGACTGAACACCACCATGGGTGCGACCCTGCGGATAGAGGAGTAGATAGGGGGGGGATGGGGGACGGTGGAGAGGGGGCAGCCGAAGGTAAAGGGAGTAAAAGGGGGAGGTGAGGGGAAGAAGGGGGAATGAGTGACGGCAGATGTTCCAAAGGAAATCATGACTAGACTCCAAAATCCTTGTTTAGAACAGGAACGTGCATGGCATGGCATTATGGCATAACGTGGCATGGCATTATGGCATAACGTGGCATGGCACCAAGCATGGTGTCTGTTCCCTCGGAGTTTGGTCTGCATGCGCTGCCTGTCGCAACTGTGCCCCAACCAACCACCTGATTTGCCTTGATTCATTTTCTTCTCCTCTCCAGCCAGGCCACATTCTGCCGGCTGCACGTACCAACTAGCACACTGAATTCAGCAACCCCAATTATCCATACCAGCCACTTCGATAATAAGCATTCTCGCCTCTCACTCACTCTCTCGCTCGATCACTCACTAACCCACCCACCCACCGACTGACTCACTCACTCACTCACTCACTCACCTCCTCACGCCTTACTGCTGCTGCAGAGTCAGCTCGGTCTGCCCTATGGTGATGGTGGTGGTGATGGTGATGATGGCTGTGGTGATGATGGCGACAGCTGCTGCTGCTGCGGCTGCTGTTGCCCCTGCCCCCCTTGCATCTGTCCCTCCCTCCCTGCAGAAGAAGTAGCAGCAGCAGCAGCAGCACTGCTGGATGTGTTGGTGATTTGCGGAGGTTCAGACCCCACCCACCGCCTCTGCTCATACCTGCCCGACATTACAAGCAACACACACAACACAAGAACCTCCCAAAGATGGTTTTTGAACAAGAAAAGGGATAACAATAATATCTACACCATAGTATACATGAGGAAGGGGCGGGGGAGGGGCGGGGGAGAGATGTACAAGCAACAAAAGGGAAGCGGGAAAGGGAGGGAGGTGAGAGGGGAGGGAAGCGGAGGACAAGAGTAGAGGAGGGCGAGAACTTGGCACCTACTTGGCACGAATGAAGCTCTCTAGGCCAATCTTGTCGTTTTCAGAGGGGCGGCGGAAGGAGGGCGGCAGACGGGCCTCCCAGTACGCGTTCGCCTTGGCATTGCCCATGGCTGCGATGCGATGGTCAGCAGGCAGGGGGGAAAGGGGAGAAAAGGAATTTTAAAGAGTTGTCAAGAACATTGCGAGAGGAAAACAGAGAGGAGCACGTGAAAGGGTGAGAACAGCAGCAATCTCTGGACAAGGCTGGGAAGAGAGAATCAAGCACAAACGTATATTGGGTTCCAATGCGAAAGGAAGTGCGGACAGGCAGTGCAGAGGAAAAGGGAGGGAAGCAGAGGAGAGAGGAGGGGGAGGAGAGAAGGACTGCGAGGGGAGGGGGAGGGGGGGAGGGAGGAGGGGGGTGGGTTGGGGGGGCCAAGAAAGCAACAGGTCGAATTATCAGGGAACAAAAAGAAGCGGGGAAGCTGAAGGGAAACGGTACAAGCAATAGGTCAAACAGGCGAGGAGGAAGGAGAGGGAGAAAAGAGAGAGAGAGAGACCTTGCATGAATGCCACTTGGTCCGGCAACCATGTGTCGAGAGTGGCCGAACGGACCTGAGCACGTGAAACCGCACATCACAGCACAGCATGGCATGTCATGACATGCGATGGGATGGCATAGCATGACACGGCATGGCATACCATGGGATTGCACCGAAGCCATGAGGGAAAAGAGAACGTTAGAGAGATTCGAACCAGGTGTACAAGGAATTAAGAAGGGGGAGAAAAGAGTGTGCGAACGAGAGGGACATGGAAGAGGTGGAAGGCAGGAGGGGTTGGTGCAGGCCAATTGTAACTTCGCGAGTGCGGATGTGCAAGGATTGGTGTGGTTGCGTGCGGTTGCGTGTGTATGCCACGTGTACGGTGGTGAAAGCCACCGACCTTGGAAATGTGGACTCCGAGGCTGCGGTGGATGCCGGAGCACTGGATGCACATGAATATGCCCAGGTTCACACTCGCCCACCGCGGCGCTCTGCGCGTCGTCCACGCGCGGACGTAGGGGGAAAGGGGGAGGAGTGGCGGAGGGTAAGGAGAGGAGGACGGAGAGAAATGGTGAATAATACGGGAATAATACGCGAACGGTGCATCAAAATAGTTGTCAAGGCAGTGTAGGAGCAAAATGAAAAATTAGTAATGGAGCAGAATTGCGAGCGATAGCACTTTCGCATGACCACGTTTCAATTATCAGCGTAGGATACTGAAATGGAACGACGAAAGCTGATATGAAAGGAACCACAAAAGGGACAGGCGGGAGGAGAAAGGCACGATACAGGCGGCTGCATAAAAACGGGAGAGGAGAGTAGAGAAGGGAAGGGCTCACTTGCAATGACAGTCAGCACACTCCCTGTTTTCTTGAAGCTTCAATAGACCGTCCAAAATCTGATCACACGGATCATACGGCGAGTTGGAGAGAACATGGAGGTAACACACACGGAAAAGAAGACAAACATTTAGGACGGATGACGGGCGCCGGACACTCAATTTGAACGCGGAGCTAAATCACAAAACGGCTGGATGCAGCATGGCACCGTCCGTAAGGAGCGAACACATTTTGTGAAGTGGGTAGTGCGGAAATGGAAGTTCACGGTACCAGAGTGGACAATGGAAAGGCTGACTGGCGAACTGGTTACCTTCTTGTGACGATCATTCTGCTCCTTCGTCACGGCAGATTTCCCGTTCAGACCCATACCAGGCCAAATATTCTAATCGCAAACCACTCCTAAGCAGGAATTAGCTCAAGGTTCCAAACAATTTTCCACGTCCCGTTCCGCTTTCTATGCAGATGTAAGGCAGATGCAAAGCTATGGCGGTAGGTCACACAATCGGCGTAGTCGCGATGTCACGTGACTGAGAACTGAGAGAAAATTGGGGTCACAATTTTGAAGCAAGAAAACCGCTGCTACAAGCGCGAAAGACTCTGCGTCAGCTAGGGGTAATAGGGAACGTAATCAGTGAGTCAATGAAAGGAGAAGGGAAAGCCTGAGCAGCACGTGCCACAGCGGGTACCAATTCCTGAACTAGGAGCCACCAAAATCCTGTGATGTGAAGGTGCCGCCAAGGTGGTGACGAAGTTGGTGAAGGTAAGAGGAGGCAGGCACGTGTGTGCTGTTGCGTGAAGCCAGATATGGCTGCCTTTCTGCAAGTTTCCTGAGTGCTGTTGCTGCAGTTCCTGTTAGGTGATGAATGGTTCGGATCGGTTAGGTTGGTTTTCAATTCTTTCTAGTGGGTGTGTATGTTCTGCTGTTTCACTAGTTGTGAACTGGCGGCGGTTGTGGGTGATTGAGTGGTGGTGAGGTCGCGCGCGCTACTCGGTGGTGTCGCGCTGATGGTTTGCGGTGATTCCGCGTTTCATTTCCGCCATTCGCTCCGTTCAACTCCGCGCCAGCCAGTCATCGAGAACTTGCTCCGCGCATCCGCTGAGTGTGACGAGATGGGCGGAACAGACGGGGACGGGTCACGGGACGGGGAGGGGTGGGGGGACCTTGATATGAGGCAACAAGCAAGCGCAGGGATTGGTTGGGGGCTTGACAGGGGAGAGTGACAAGCGATGCTGACGCCAGAATTGCAGAGGAGGGGCCTTGTGATTGGTTGGACGGATACGCAGTTGCCTCACCTCGAACCGGGCCGTTCCAAACCTGCGCGGTTGAGGCTGGGGGACAAGGGTGACGTTTCTGGCCGTGTTTCAACGCGTTCAAACGGTGTCACGCAGAAGTCGTTGCTATAACGGTGGTGCCTAAAGAGAGCATCGTTCTTTCGGCCAAATATCCAGGTGCGATTCGTGGAGGGGGTGAGGGCCGTACAGCGTGTTGGTGGTAGCGGGCAGCTTGGCGGTTTCGTCGAGGGTGCTGTTGATTGGCGTGGCGGTTCTGGTTGAGAGGAGAGTTCCTCCGCTGGTGCATATGGATAATGCGTGAGTGTAGACGCCACGCAACCCACTCTTATACACAATAACGGACAGCTCAGGAAGCAGCTTTCACAGCATGGCATGGGACATCGATGTGGCTGCAACACCCACATCAAACTGCATGACATGGCATCAGCCGACCGTCCCCATTCACTGCTTCAGCCGGCCACCACCAGCCTGAGTGGTAACCGAGCCGAATATCTCAGTGGAAAAGGGTCAGGCTGATCTGACGGAGCCGAGCTTTTACGAACCTAGCCGAACCTAACCGAGCCCAAACCACACCAGCTCAGCCAAGCCCGCCCTCCACGCCACACGCAAACACAAAATTTCCGTGCGAGCAGGGAAGCCATAGAGAATTCCATTTTGCGTAGATCTGCAACACCATCCCCTCCCCTCCCTATACATCCCTCGGGATGATCCTTGACATGAGAGTTGTGAAACATCACCTTTTCAACCCAAATCGCGACATCCCTTCTTCTCCTTATTCGGCGATTCAGGCGCCCGCGTTCTGCTCATCTTATGACAGAAACGACCCGGATCAGGCCGTGAACCAAAATTTATTATTAAGCTCTCCTCTGTAACCTGTTTTAATACCTTCTCGTCTCGTCATCAATTCCGTTTTCCATCACGTACGTCGCGCCGTCTCCGTTGTCGTCGTCTGCGCATCACCCGTTTGATCCTTCTCGAAAGGTTTATAAAAGGCACATCCTCGTTAAGAGCTCGTCAGCATGTGGCGATTGAAGCATATGATGGGGTTGGAGGGTCACCATAGCCCCGGCGGGAACCAGACCGCGGGACCGTTGGAGGGCAAGGCTGTGGAGGTGGGTCGCGTTCAGGTGCAGGTTCGCTCCACCATCGCTCAAGGCGGCTTCGCCTTCGTGTACCTCGCGCGCTGCGCGCACTCGGGCCGCGCGTACGCGTTAAAGCACATCGTCTGCAGCGATCCCGATACCATGGAGCAGGTCCAGCGAGAGGTCTCGATTCTCATGGCTTTAAGAGGCCATCCCAATATAGTCACACTCCACGCGCACGCGCTCTTGGATTCCGCCGGATCGGCCGGATTAGGGTCTGCTGGCGTGGCAGCTGCTGGCGCGGGAGGGATGGGGCACGGCGGAGCGGGTATGGGTGGCGGAGGGAGCGGGCGGAAGGAGGTGTTTCTGTTGATGGAGCATTGCGAGCGGACGCTCGTGGATGTCATGGCGGCGCGGGGGACGACGCCGTTTGACGAGAAGACGCTGCTGCTCACGTTCCGCGACGTGTGCAACGCCGTGTTCGCCATGCACTGCCAGCACCCGCCCGTCGCGCACAGGTCCGTCCCCGCAACCCGCTCCGCGTCATCGTCATCGTCATTGTCATCGACTTAGTCGTCGTTGTTGTTGTCGTTTGCCTCCCCACTGTCCTCCCCAACTCCCCTCTCTTCTTGCAGCTCCTCCGTCCCGAATTCCTTTCTTCACGCCCCCAATCCCCCCAACCCCCACAACCCTCGCTTTCACGCCTCTCTCAGACCTTCCCCTTCCCTGCTCCTCATTTTTCTCTCTTTTCCCCCACCCTCTAACCTCCCACTCTTCTGTGATCCCTTCGATCCCGCGCTCCCCCGTGCACCCGGGGGCTCCGTGTTTCCCTCGCTCTTTCGCGCTCCCGCCCCCCCCCGCGCTCCCCGCGCGGCGCAGGGACCTGAAGGCGGAGAACGTGCTGCAGTGCGGCGACGGGTCGTGGCGGCTGTGCGACTTCGGCAGCGCGAGCACGCGGCACCGGCGCATCGAGCGCGTGGAGGACATGGGGGTCGAAGAGGACGTGATCCGGCGCAACACCACCCCCGCCTACCGCGCCCCTGAGGTACGGGGGAGCGGGGGTTGGGAGGGGGGGGAAGAAAAGGGTGGGTGGGGAAAGGGAGGACGGGGAGAAAAGGGGAACGAGGGGGATGGGGGAGGGGAGGTGGAAAGGAGAAAAGGGGGGTGGACGGGGAGGAGGGGTTGGGAGAGGGAGGGGGAGGGAGGTGGAGGGAGGGAAGAATAACGGAGATGTATGGAACGGAAGGTATTGGGTAGGAAAGAGAAGGGCCAATGGGCGATGAGGTACCAAGTGTTCGTTATAATCTACTCGTACTTCCTCTCTATACACACGCACACACACGAAATCACAGGCACACAGGCACACACACAAACGCACACACACACGCACACGCACGCACAACACACCCACACATACACGTTCCTTTAAACCTTATATAATGCACAGTATATGTCCCGTTCTTTCCTTTCCCCACGCTCTGCACTCATGACAATCCACCCCCATCCTGACCCACCGCACCCCATCAACAGCTGTGGGACCTCTATCAAAAGGAGATGCTGAGCGAGAAGGTTGACATATGGGTATGTTCCTTCCCTCAACTTTTGCCCAGTCCATTCACCAACTCATCCGCCTTCCTCTTGCCCTTTCCACCTTTCTCGCCCCTCCATCCGTTAACCTTACCCCTTGCCTTGCCCACGCACCCCCCCGCCCCCGCTTCATCCCCTCCTTCCCCAGTGGTTGGTTCTTCACATCTATCTTCTCTCTCCAAATGAAGCTCGAGAGACGCTCCGCGTTCCACCTGCAACTTCCTGTTCTTTTTTCTGTTTTTCCATGCATGCAAGCATAAGGACATCTGCTTCCAATCATCTGCGTGAGCAGACACACATGCTTATCCACTCGTTCGCCAATTCCCCAACATGCCCACACCGCACCCCCTTTCCCCTCTGCCACCAGGCCCTAGGCTGCCTGCTGTACCGCATGGCATACTTCCGCTCTGCCTTTGATGGCGAGTCCAAGCTGCAGGGAAATGCTTTCTGAGGCGCCTAAACACGCCTGCACCGCACTCCCCCTCCCGCTCTCCCCCTTCCCCGCCCCCACCAGGCGCTGGGCTGCCTGCTGTACCGCATGGCATACTTCCGCTCTGCCTTTGATGGCGAGTCCAAGCTGCAGGGAAATGCTTTCTGAGGCGCCTAAACACGCCTGCACCGCACTCCCCCTCCCGCTCTCCCCCTTCCCCGCCCCCACCAGGCGCTGGGCTGCCTGCTGTACCGCATGGCATACTTCCGGTCGGCGTTTGACGGGGAGTCCAAGCTGCAGGGAAATGCTTTCTGAGGCGCCTAAACACGCCTGCACCGCACTCCCCCTCCCGCTCTCCCCCTTCCCCGCCCCCACCAGGCGCTGGGCTGCCTGCTGTACCGCATGGCATACTTCCGCTCTGCCTTTGATGGCGAGTCCAAGCTGCAGGGAAATGCTTTCTGAGGCGCCTAAACACGCCTGCACCGCACTCCCCCTCCTGCTCTCCCCCTTCCCCGCCCCCACCAGGCGCTGGGCTGCCTGCTGTACCGCATGGCATACTTCCGCTCTGCCTTTGATGGCGAGTCCAAGCTGCAGGGAAATGCTTTCTGAGGCGCCTAAACACGCCTGCACCGCACTCCCCGTCCCGCTCTCCCCCTTCCCCGCCCCCACCAGGCGCTGGGCTGCCTGCTGTACCGCATGGCATACTTCCGGTCGGCGTTTGACGGGGAGTCCAAGCTGCAGGTGCTGAACGGGCGCTACAGCATCCCGGACGCCCCGCGCTACTCCCCCGCCGTGCCCGCGCTCATCCGCGACCTCCTCGCCATGCAGCCCCACTGCCGCCCCGACGTGCTGCAGGTGCGGTGGAGGGGGGAGTGGGGGAGGGATGGTGGAGAGTGGGGACGAGTGGGGAGATTGGGGGAGATTGGGGGAGAGTGGGGGGGAGTGCGAGAGAGTGCAAGAGAGTGGGGGAGAGTGGGGGAGAGTGCGGGAGAGTTCGGGAGTGTGGGAAGAGTGGGGCCGTGTGGGGCCGCATGAGGGCACATGGGGGAGAGTAAACATGGCTTGACAGTTGCAGTGCCACTACTGCCTTGATGCTTCTTTACACCAAATGTTCGTTGCTCCTTGCATTGCAATGTTTCCCCCCGCATGCGCCGTATCAGCCGCCCTTCCCACCGCCCCTTCCACCCGCCCTCCCATCCTCCCGTCCTGCTGACCTTACACACTCGTTAGGTCCACCTTTCGCTCCTCCTCATCCTTTTGTTCCTCCCCTTTTTCCGCTCAATTTCCTTGTCGTCCTCCCTCCCTTCTCCGCCTTGTGTCTCTTCTCTTCTCTCTCTCTGCTCTCTCTCTTCGCTCTTCTCTTCGCTCTCTCTTCGCTTTCTCTTTGCTCTCTCTCTGCTCTCTCTTCGCGTGTGCACCAGGTATGGCGCCGGGTGAACGAGCTCCTGCCCCCAGAGATGCGCAAAGCCAGCCCGGATTGGCCACCACTAACACCCAAGCCCACCCCGGGTCTTGCAGCCTCTGCAGCAGGGCGCAGACCCACCTCCCCCTCGCCGCAGCAGCAGCAACAGCAGCAGCACCAGCAGCAGCAGCAGCAGAACCACCAGAACCAGCAGCAGCAGAACCAGCAGCAGCAACGAAGAGAATCTGCACCAGAGAGACATGCACCTCCTGCTGCATCTGCTGCTGGAGGGGCAGGGACGTTCTGGGCCAATTTTGACTCGTTTCCAACCACTCAGGCGGGATCATCTGGTAGTGCTGCTGCTGCCCCTGCACCTCCCCCTGCTGCTGCTGCTGCGTCTTCCTCCGTTGCAGCAACCTCTGCAGCTGCCTCTGCTGGTGGTGGTGGTGGTGATGCGGGTGGCAGCAGCAGGCCTTCATCGGCTAGAGCATCTGCAGGCCCTGCAGAAAGAGTGGGTGAGAGAAGAGCAGAGGAGGAGAGGAGAGGCAGCAACTATGCTCATGCTGCTAATGCTGCAAGTGTTGGAGCTGGTGCTGGAGCTGGTGCTGATGCAGATAGTAGTGAGCACCGTAAAGTGTCTGGTGCTTCAAAGTCAACAGCAGGACAACCTTCATCATCGTCATCAGCAGCAGCATCCCCGCAACGATCGCCACCGCGGTCGCGACTGGCGGCAGGAGCAGAGGAGGTGGAGCGGCTGCGAGGGGAGCTGCAGAGGGTGTTGCAGGAGCGGGATGAGCTGCGGGTGACGTGCAGCAAGCTCACTCTCGTGGTGCAGACCCAGCAGGCAGACATCGCTGCTCTGCAGGCCGCACTGGCCCAGCAGCAGCAGCAGCAGCAGCAGCAGCAGCAGCAGCAGCAGCAGCAGCAGCAGCAGCAGGAGGGTGGAGCCAGCAGGGGCAGCAATGCTGATGCACAAGGGTCTAGTGCTGCTCGCCGTGCTACAAATGATGCAGGGGCTGAGAAGAATGAGGCGGTGAGCAGCAGTGGTGGTTCTAGGAGTCAGACGGGTGAGAGGCTCAGGAGTGGAGAAGGGGGGGGCGTCAGGCAGGGTAGGAGCGAGGAGGAGATTGAGATAAGGCTGCGAAAGAGGGGGGGGCAGGAGGAGGAGGATGGGGAGGCGGAAGAGCAAGGGGGGGCGGAGCAGGTGATAAATCTACGGTTTGAGGATATAGGCAGCCCTGTGCCGGTCACTGATGAGTCTCTGAAGCGAGATGGAAGCCACAGAGGTGGAAGCAGCAACAATAGCAGCGTTGGCTACGGGGGAGCAGCAGCAGCAGCAGCAGCAGCTGGAGAAGGGCGTCAGCTGGTTCTGGTACTGGTACCTCGGGTTCGGCCTCTAAAGCTGCTGGTTCACAGCAGCAGCAGCAGCAGCAGCAGCCACAGCAGCAGGTGAGGCAGCCTATCGACGCAACTCCTCCCCGGCTCACCGCGCTACTGTGCAGTCCTCCTCCCCTTCCAAAGCTCACCTGCAACAGACACTGCACCAGCAACACCACCAGCAGCAGCAGCATGAGAAGGAGCAGGGGTACTGGCAAACCTATGGTAGTGCATCCTCCTCTGCCTTGCCTTCTGCTGCTGCCCCTGCCGCTGCTGACCTAGGAGGGTCCTATTCTGGAGCTTCTGCTAGTTTCAACAACAGTAGTGGTAGAGCCAGTGTGAGCAGACCACGTTCTCCTCTCCCTCACCAACAGTCGGAAAGTTCTAACAATGCTCCGGGCAGTTGGAAGGAATCGGGTGTAGCTGGTTTTGGTGCTGGTGCTGCTGATGCTGGTGGTAGTTCGTGCGGTGGAACCGCTGGGGGTGGGCAGGGGTGGGAATCGTTTGGTAGTGGTGCTGGTGCTGGTGCTGGTGGTGCCTTTTCTGCTTCTGGCTTCGAGTCCTCTCAACCCCAACAGCAGCAGCAGTACGCATCTGCTGCCTCTGCAGCACAGGGTTTCAGCCAGCCCTCCGGCTGGGCTGCATTTTAGGGAAGTCTCTCTCTCGTTTCTCTCTACAGACATGGGTGGCATGCGCATGTCTTGCCTTGGGCTGGAAATTTTGTCTGGTTGAACTGTACTTGCTGAATAGGCTTGTGATGGTCTTTGGTGGGCAATAGAATTCTCTCTCACGCTTTTCTCACACCAGGTGCTTGATCATATGCTCTTCGCCAACATGCGAGTTGGGGGTGAAGGACCCACTACCGGTACCAAAACCTTTCTGAAATGATTCAAGTATGCCTACTGGCTTGACTCTCGCTAACACGGCAGTGTTCTGTGGAGTTGCAGTGCTGCCCTTTGTGTCGACAGGGCTTGGGGAGTTTTTCCCTGGTTAGATTTATTTGCTTGAGACATGGATGATGAGTAGAATTTGTAGTTTGTGTGAATTATACCGTAACACATGCTGATGTATGATGTGTAGCAACTTACAAAAGTGGTGAAAATTCAGACAGTTCGCGCGATCCTCGCTCAGGTGGGTGTTCCCTGCAGGTGGTTCCTGCCCAGCAGGCGCCGCGCATGATGCCGCGATTCGCCCAGCAGGTTCTGCTGGGGCCTCCAGCGGCCCTCTGCACAACACGTCGCTTGGGATTGGGACTTCTATCATCCCAAACGGTGGTGGTACTACGCCAAGTTCCATCTCGTCACTCGCGAACTTTGCGATACCAGCTGCGATACATTTGCAAACACGAAAGCGATTCCCCTACCAGCAATATATAACAGTTATGTCTGCGCATTCCTTTTCACCGACCAGCGCAGCATCACAGCGAGTGTCACTCCCATCTAGCTTTGTACCTCACTCCCGATCTGTTGAGTGAAATTACCTAGACTCATAGCAAAGCACAGCCGTTTTCCCACGATGGCGGTACAACGAAGCGTTGTTCTCCTGGCAACTTCCCTTCTGCTAATCCCAGCCGTCCTCGCCGCAGGTGCGTCACAACCCTGAACCCTTTGAAAGGAAATATACTGCCTCGAGTAGTCGTCGCACTTGCCTGCATTTCGCGTCCCTTGCCGCCTCCCCCTGCATGCTGCCACGCCATCCTATCGGGAAGAATGAATTCACAAAGAAAGAATTTCTTCCGTACGTACCACTCCTCTATCTCCCGCCTCCCCCTGTGTGCTGCCACGCCTTCCAAACAGAAAGAATGACTTTACACAAAATGGTTTTCTTCCTTATGTACCACTCCTCTACTATCTCCCTTCTCTCTCTCCTCCCTTCCCTCCCTTGTCCTGCTCTACTCCCATCTTCTTCCTCTTCGCCCTCCCCTCCCTCCACTTGCCTCTCCCTGCCGTCTCACACCCTAGTAACTGAACACCGAGCCTTTCTATGTCTCCGCGCTCCGCCATTGTCTTCCCCGCCTTTCCGCGCAGACGTGTGCACCACCACATTCTGCACGGAGGTACTGAACGCGCATAATACCGCCCGCGCGGTTATCGGCGTCGCGCCGCTTGGTTGGAATGTGTCACGTAAGCCGCCCACCTCCCTTTCGCCCGCCCACGTCCCTTTCCGCCTCCCGCTCTTCCGTTGAGATGTACCACTCGTCGTGCGCGCCCATCTCCCGCGCACCTTATCCTCTTTCAACGCCTTCCCCTCCCTCCCTTCTTCCCGCAGTGGCGCTGCGTGCGCAGGAATGGGCGAAAGTATTAGCGAGTAACTACCAGTGTAAGAATGTCCAGTACGGCGACACGGTGGGCGTGGGGCAGAACCTACAAGTGGGCTACAAATCCACGAACGCGGCCGCGGTGCAGGGGTGGTTGAGCGAGGGCCGGTACTACACGTACGGGAAATTCCCCAACACATGCGCGCTGACGCCGTGCAGCCACTACACGCAGGTGGTGTGGAAGAAAACGACGACGGTGGGGTGCGGTCGCGTGGATTGCACGAACTCGTATTCGCTTTGGGTGTGCGATTATTACCCTCCGGGTAACTATGTCGGCGAATACCCCTATTGAGGGACGCTGTAAGCGGATGAGAACAAGGTTCGCATGGAATGGAGATGATTTGAATGTTGTGGGCTCCATTCACCAAAGGCTGTTTTGATATACACACACAAGAAATAGGCTAGCGCTTAGTAGAAAGGGTTGTGCAGGATTCTCTAGATCTGACCACAAGTGCTTCCTCTCCAGCCACTGTAACATGTGAACAAAACTAACAAAGCATAACAGCGATCGAAAGCCCCACAGGACAGCTGAGGTCAGGTCTGTTCATCTTTCTGTCAGATATTGGTTCCGAGACTGCATGTGCAACATGTTAATTCTGTTAGAATAAGGAGTAACTTAGGAGTAACTTAGGTTTAGGATGCCTAGGCTTAGAAGCCTAGGCAAGGAGGGTAAGGAGAAGATTGTCGAGAAAAGGAAGGGGTTTCACTATTGAGCAAAGGGTACAAATAGGAGAGACGCAAGGTATACCACCAACAGTTAAATGTAATGCTACACTAAGCTACAACTACATGCAGTTATAACAATATAACTTTGACATCCCCCCTTAACTGCATGCAGTTATAGCCAATTGCAAAACACAACCTGCGGGGGTACACCAAGCAGTAGCACGCAAGAGCAATGACAACCAGTGCAGTGGTGGCAGAAACAGCTGCAGCAAGTCCTGAGGCAAGAAAGAGAGAAAGGAGACAAAGTGCTGTGGCGCATCTAGTTTGCAGCTCAACAGCAAAGAAGACGAACGGAGAAAGGAGACAAAGTGCTGTGGCGCATCTAGTTTGCAGCTCAACAGCAAAGAAGACGAACGGAGAAAGGAGACAAAGTGCTGTGGCGCATCTAGTTTGCAGCTCAACAGCAAAGAAGACGAACGAGGCGTCAGGGGCTGCAGCTGTAGGTGCCACGGTAGCAGTGGGCGGCATCTGCAGATGCGTGGCTGCTGTTTCCACGCGGGAGGCGACCAGATACGACGGATACAAGGAGGAGTAGCGAGAAGTGATGCAGCGGAAGAGAGAGGGAGAAGAACGAGAGAGAAATAAAGCAGATTACTCCCATCCCCCCTCAACTGCTCTCCCCCCCCCCTCTACAGCACCAAGTGCTGCAGGGAGAGAGGAAGAGGGAAGGGAGGGACGGCCTGCTGGTGATTCACACCCGCCACCCCACGTCTCCCCCTCCCCCCCTCCCCACGACGGAAGTCGCGGAAGGAAGGGCGGGTGGGGGGGGGGCGACGGTAGCTGCTGCTGGCGCTATCGCTGGCGCCTGGCGCTGGCGTAGACGTTGGCGCTGGCGCTGGCGCAGGCGCTGGCGGTCGTCGCTAGCGTCCGCGCAGGCGCCTGGCGAGGCGCTGGACGGGCTGCGGGCGACGGGAACAGAGGGCCGCGGGCGACGGGAACGGGGGGCCGCGGGCGACGGGAACGGGGGGCCGCGGGCGACGGGAACGGGGGGCCGCGGGCGACGGGAACGGGGGGCCGCGGGCGACGGGAACGGGGGGCCGCGGGCGACGGGAACGGGGGGGCCGCGGGCGACGGGAACGGGGGGCCGCGGGCGACGGGAACGGGGGGCCGCGGGCGACGGGAACGGGGGGGCCGCGGGCGACGGGAACGGGGGGCCGCGGGCGACGGGAACGGGGGGCCGCGGGCGACGGGAACGGGGGGGCCGCGAGCGACGGGAACGGGGGGGCTGCGGGCGACGGGAACGGGCCGCGTGGCGAGGAAACGACGCGGGGCGACGCGGGGGCCGCGGGTCGACGAGACAGAAAAAAAAAATGCGCATTTCGCGCTGAGACAAGGGCGGGCCCATGTTCCTTAGAAGAGATCGAGGTCCTTAGACCGGGACTAGCTCTGATACCATGTTAGAATAAGGAGTAACTTAGGAGTAACTTAGGTTTAGGATGCCTAGGCTTAGAAGCCTAGGCAAGGAGGGTAAGGAGAAGATTGTCGAGAAAAGGAAGGGGTTTCACTATTGAGCAAAGGGTACAAATAGGAGAGACGCAAGGTATACCACCAACAGTTAAATGTAATGCTACACTAAGCTACAACTACATGCAGTTATAACAATATAACTTTGACAAATTCCCCAACCTTAATGCATCATCAGCACTGTAACTCATGCATCACCAGCGCCGCACCCAGTACATCACCGGCCGTACTTTCCATTAGTCTCTTTGGAGCATGCTCAGCTGAATGTACCACCTCTGCCCTGCTGCTGCTGCTGCTGCTGCTCCTGTGGGGTTTCGTCTGGGCTGAAAGTAGCCTGTGGAAAACCTGAGCTGGGGCCGCAGTGGCTGACGAGGTGTATCCCTCGCTATAATGCCCTTCACTATAAGCGCCAACCCATGAGTGCTGCTCTGCTGCTTGTTTGCAGGTTCAGTGGCAGGGTGTGAATATGTGTGCCCCTCCCTTGCTATTGCCTCAATGCCACCTTCCCCCCGAACCCCTCCACCTCCTCTCTCCCTCCCCTCTCCCCCCCCCCCCCCCCAAAATACCTCCCATAAGTCCTGCCCCCTCCGTCCCTACCCTTCCCAACCCCTCCTCATTACAGCTATCCCAGCTCTCATCTGGATCAGAATCCGTGATCAGGAGGTCATGGAGCCAATGCAAGTGCATTACCAGAGGATTTAAGAGGGGTGCTGCAACAGATCAGCCTCCTGCAGTAGGTGTGATGACCCACGGAATGATGCACGTCATCTGCCTAATAGGGTTGAGGAAACAGGTCACATGAGGGCTTGCAAGGGACCCGACAGGTGGGACTGTCAGAATGTTATGTTTGTCTAGCCTGCAATGGGGTACTCTATAGCGAGTATAGCCCAAATTAGGGTTTGCTATATGTACTCAACTGCCTGCTAGTGAAAACCCCTCTTCTGTGTTCTATCGTTTCCGCCTAGACTTTCTGACATGCTATCAGAGTGGTTTCGATCCTGGCCTGTGGGCCCGCCTGCTTCCGCTGCTGTCCTGTCTGTCGCGCGCCCCGTGGCGCGCGACGGATTTTTCTTCCCGCCACGCGCTCGGGGCGCATGGCGGTTTTCTGCCCGCCGTGTGCCCCGAGGCGCGCGGCGGTTTTCTGCCCCGTCGACGGTCGCGTCGCCCCCAGGGAGCCCGTCGCGTCGCCCCACAGGCCCGCGCGTCGCCCCCGCTGCCCCGTCGTAGCGCCCTGGGGAACCGCGCGCGGCCCCCGCAGCCTCGTCGCGACGCCCTGGGGAGCCGCGCGCGGCCCCCCGCTGCCCCGTCGCGGCGCCCTGGAGAGCCGCGCGCGACCCCCGCTGGCCCGTCGCGACGCCCTGGGGAGCCGCGCGCGGCCCCCCGCTGCCCCGTCGCGGCGCCCTGGGGAGCCGCGCGCCATCCCCCGAGCTGCTGCCCGCGCCCCCCCCCCCCCCCCCCCCCCCCGCCCCGCTGCTGCCTATGTTAGG